TAGAGAAACTCTGTTTAAAAAAAAATTTGTACGGGGGCTGGTGGAGTGGCTCAGGTGGTAGGGTGCCTGCCCAGCAAGCATGAGGCCCTGATTTCAAACCCCAGAACTGCCAAAAACAAAAACAAACCCAAAAAAACAAAAAAACTAAAAACAAAACATATAGTATCCTATTAAAGCAGTATACATTTTTTCAAAAGCAGATTTATTACTACTTTATTGTTCTTATTCAATGTAACTCTAAACTATTTAGGTATTTGCAGGTTAATATTTTCTAGAAGGGTTTACGTACGGTGGTTCTCAGAATGAAAATATATTTATACTTATTAAAGTTACTTTAATGCCATGTTAAGGGTACATTTCTAGAAAAGTAGTTTCTCTTTTTAAAAGCACCGTTTCTTTTTCCTGAGATTAAAAAGTGTCAACAGTGAAAACTTCCAGGGAAAATATACAAATATACAAAGATACAAACATGTAAGTATCAACATAAGGTTAGGCTTAACTGGGAAATAGCACCTGAGATATAATTTTATGTATCATAAAACATGATGGTTAAAGAGGAATTAGTGGCCTGTAAAATGTGAGATTATTTTGTGTGGATTTTGGTTTGGCACTAGGAGAGTGAAAGGCGGAGGGGAAGGGATAGCTTAGTTCAAAGACAGAAGAAGTGGTGAGGTGGTGCACACCTGCAATCCCAGCTACCTGGGAGGCAGAGGAAGGACCACAGTCTGAAGCTGGCCTGGACAAAAGTGCGACACCCTACCTGAAAGACAAACTACAGCACAAAGGGCTGGGCACACTTATGCATGCTTGAGATCCCAGCATGAGGGATGTTAAGGAACTCACAACATAGTGAATTCAAGGCCAGCCTGGGCTACATAACGAGACGCTGTCCCCAGGACACGTCTCAGCTGTTTTTCATTAGTAAGCAGAGAAGTATATATTAACAATGATACCTTTTATTTGTCTTCTAGACTGGTGAAGTTAAAGTTGGTAATATGCAAAGGGGAAAAAGCACGAGCAGAGGCTTTCCAGCCGCAGTGCTGTCTCAGTGTCTGTGCTGAGCCAGCAACGGCACTGCAGAAGCTTGTGGTGAGCAGCAGGCAGGCAGAGCTGTGCTGCAGGTGCAGCACGGATCTGAGTGTGGGCAGGGCAAGGGCAGTCACGAGGGTCCCTTCTGGCACCAATGACTCTCCTCAGCCCTTTTTCCTCCTTCTTGTTGCAAGAAACACACATTATCAGTGGGGCACAGAGGAGAGCTGTCACTTACAGAAAGAGACTTGGGATACCATTTAATGACACTTACAAATGACCTCCTTAGGGAGACAAAGATTTCCAGAAGGTTACAATGTAGAGTCCACAACCACAAGAAAAGTCTGTTCTAACCGTGACATGTATTTACAGAGTAAGTTTGTTTTGTTGCCTTGATGTGCTGTGTCTGTGAATGTTTAAAATACACACGTACACGAAAACATTTTATGATTAAGCTACAGATGCAAACTGATTCCAGTGTTGGAGTGAATGTCACTTCCCAGTCATTAAAAACTGATCAATGATCCCACATCTGCTCGTGCCTGAGCTGACAACATCTCATTTCTCTCCAAAAGAAAGCATAGCCTCAGTTTGATGGCTTGGGAGGCAGGGAAACACCCAGTGTCATTCCTCCATCTCCTCTCGAATTTTATCTACCTTTCCTTTAGGTCATCCAAGCATCGCTGAAGGTGGACTTCCCCTGCAGTGACCAGCACGTGCTCTCCTGTCTCCTGGATCAGAATCTGGACACAGGGGTCGGCCTGGTTCAGCAGCTTCATCCCTCTCACGAGCTGAGGCATCTCACCTATGGCAACAAGACCAACTGAGTCAATACCCTGAGCACCAAGGCGCTCCAGAGATGGGACGCTCACAAGGAAGGCAACTCTTACAGAGCCGTCCTCCATCCTAATCGTGCAGTGATGTGAAGAAAGCTTTCCCCTAGTGACTTATTTGTACAGACAGGTAGCATGAGACACAGCCCGTCAGGGAGGCTGCAAAGCTCAACTCACCTCCACCACAGAGCTACAAAAGAGCATAGTACACTTATGAATTCACCTTCGTCTTCTGCAAACGCACACCTTACACCCCAGACATGAAGCAGAGCACTTCCTTACATAGCACAGATAAGCCAACAAATGAGCAAAAGAAGCATTTAAGATGATAGTCACAAGAACTTCATCCTAAAAGGAAATGTCTGTGCACACCTCATGGGTTATGGGATTTACATTACACTGGCCAGTTCCTTCCACCTGATGGGGTGTGGAGCTCGGATGGCAGTGGCCAGCTACTTCGCCAGGGGCCACGGCTGCCTGTGGTTCCAAATGCACTTCCTGGTACACACCTGCGTCTCCCCCACAACTCACAGGAGCTGAGAGGACAGTCGGGGTTTGGGACCCAAACTTCGGGTTTGGCTGCTGTCTTCCCTCCTTTTTGCACACCCAGGTGCCAGTTTTCACTTGAGGGGGCCCGAGGAAGTCCCTCACTGCTGCACAAGCACAGGCTTTGACTCTGTGGGCATGTTTACACAAGCACTGTTTTGATTCTACATTTGAGGAAAAGACTTAGCAATGTACAAAACCACAGGAGCTTTCTGCAAGGCTGTGGTGCTCAACACACTTTTCAAAAGCTCATGAATCAAGGGCAGGAAGAGACGACTAGAACTTCTGTACCCATTCACTTTAAAATGAAGCCCTAATGATAACAACATTGCAGAGCTGACCATGTGCCAGACAAGCACTTTACCTACATGAAGTCATTACTAACACGAGGCACATCCGATTAATGTTCTCATCTCGCAGGTGAGGAAACAGGTGTAGAGAAGTTAAGGAACTCAAAGTCAAGGGCAAGAGAGGTGCAGAACCTAGTTCTGAACCTGGTGAGCCAGCCTCAGAAACCACACGCTAGAGATGAACACCAACACCTCCATAGGTTAAGGGTTGTAAGCCACACCTGGGAATGGAGAGACTCCTGAGGGAGACAGGGAGTGGGATTTCACTGTAAGCAGGGTTGACAGAAGCATTCATGTTTATTCGTTTTCAGGGCACAGTAGTTTTCCTTTGCCTAATAAAGCAGATTTATAGATACTACCTAGTGTGAACTAACCTAGCTTTTACAGAGTATGAAACCTGACTTAAAGGACTCCTACAAAGTGACCACTGATAATACTAATGAAACAAGTGCAACTGAACAAGGCAAAGCTTTTTCAGCTCCACCAGCCAAACTACAAAGTAAGAACCTATGCACCTCTCTCTTACTCTCTCTCTGCAGACTTAAATCTTTCTGTTCACGGTGAAGGTGACAGCTTAACAGAAGAGAAGACAATACTTTGAAATTAAATACTTGGAGATGTTTCCATTGATAGTCCACTGTCATTCTGTGCCCCAAGCATCACGCACTTTATGTGTAAACTTTTACAATCAGAAGGTTTTCCTATCCCTGTTTTAAAAGTCCTCCAAGTGCATAGTTGATTAAAGACATAACAATCAACATCTCCTAAGTCATCCAAAGAAACATGACTTTGTCTGTGTTTCGTCAGCTGGGAGTGTGCTCTAAAATGGCTACTGTGACTTAGTAAAGGATGGTGCAACTTGGAGTTACACTTCCCAAGGTGCCTTTCCCAGCGAAGATAACACTAAATTCAGGTGTTATAGTAAGTGGAACCAGGAAGCAGACCTCTGAATAGTTCTATCGCAGTTGAGGAGAGACAGCAAAAAATCAGGAAGCAGTATTAGAGTAGCCAGCATTCAAGATGGCACCAGGGTCACCCTGGTATCCTGACAGTCACTCCTGTGCAGTGCCCTGGACAGAAAATCAGGGCCAGCTTTCCCCAGTGTTGTAGAAGTGACGACAAAGTGACTCCTGCTTGAAGCTGGTCAGTCCCACACTGCACCTTTGGGTCCTGAAGCAGCATGTGGGGAGCCCTGGTGAGGGAACCTGGGGCCCTCAAGTGAACCACCTGGAAGTGTGGTCAGACCTCCAGTCCATTGTGAAGTATGACCACAACTGCTCCAGGGGCTCCAGGTTGTACCCTCCCAAGTTCCTGACTGAAGGAACTGCGAGGAATCCGTCACCAGTGTTGTTCAAGCACTGACCCTTGGAGTAACGTGCTATGCAGCATTAGAAAACTAACACAGCTATAAACCACAATCACACGCACATGACACGTCTACAGTATGTGTCTGCACAAAAAACAATTGAATCACAGCTATTTCATTTTAACCTAACTTTAAGAAATTTCTATTTTTGGTGTTTCATAACGGACATGAAATATTAGTACAAAAATTCACGCGTCTGGAAACCAGTGACTCTGGCCTCAATTAAATGGGCATCTTGAATTCCTCCGAAGGGTGACGTTTTAGGGTTGTTCAGAATCATGTCTGAGGCAGAGGTTCAAATCCTGACTCCACCACTTACTAACAAGGGGATCAACTTCTCCTCGTCCCCCTCAGAAAATTTAATGAAAGACACATGGGGAAATGCACTGTGGCCTCTAGATGGAGAACCCTAAATCACTCTCGTCAGACTGCCCTATGCATGGACAGAGGAAGGAAAATTAATCCCACCGGCATCTGCCCCAGGACGGGAAGCCAGGCAGGGACTCAGCGGGTCCTTCAGGGTTGGCTTTTACTTGGCCTTGATAGCAGAGCACGAAGTAGCACACAGCCACCAAATAACCCTTCAAAAACGGTAAGTTTCTCATAAAATATTGTTGCTTAAATTATTAAATATTTGTTAGTTCCTATTTTAAAACAGACATGCAAATGAAATAGAGAAAAACAAGCAAAAATAAAGATAAACAAGTGTTAGAAACATTCAAGAACAAAGCAGACCCCCCGCCACAGCTTCAGTGGAACTCGGTCTTCTGCACTGCCCTGGTTTCTTAGGGTGGGACACTGACCAGAGCCAGCCCAGCAAGCAGGGCAAAAGAGCAAAACCATGGGGGTCAGGAGCAGGACAACCCACAGAGGGGACAGAGGCTCCCCCAGCACAGGCGAACCCACAGGGTAGTCAGGCAATGTCAGCACAGTCACAGTGACAGCCCAGGAAGAATTCCCTGAGGCCCAGGGCACAGGGTCCCAGTCGTGGTTATCCAAGCATCTGTTGTAGGGCTGCAGGACCTCAGTGGCTAAGGACATGACTTAGAACTTGAAGGAGAGACAAGATCCAGGGAGAGGAAGGACATGAGGTATAGATGCCATAAGGCCACGGTACACTTCTGCAGAAAGCGATCCTTTCCCACATCTGTTATTTTGCTCCCGAAATTTCAGGCCTGGAGCTTCTTCACTAACCGCTGCCAGGCATGAGAATGTGACTACACAGCAGAATCACAGGGACAGGGGTCATTGCTGGCCATGGGGAGAGAAATGAATGACTGGGTAAGAATTAGCCAGGCAAATGATTAAAAGCCAAGACTAAGGGTTCAATGTTACATGCTCAGGCATGGTGAGTGCCACAGAGCCAGCAGGACAGGGGCAGAAAGTGGTTTCTACACAGAATGAAATGCTTGAGTCTAGCAGGCCAAGAACAGAGAGGCAGACGATGGGTTTTGAACTCATGAGCTTGGGGTAAGATTCTAACTCGGGGCAGTCAAGGAGCACAAGCTTTGCTGAGCTGCAACCCTGTGTGAGCGTAGAGGATGAAGGATGTGAGGCTACCCTGTCTCTGTCATCCAGAGGAAACACAGTCTTCCTGGACGGAAAGGTGCCTAATCCCACTGTGTACCTAAGATGGAGTTTAGGGGCTTCTGTTGTACACGTGAGCACTGCTGAAAGCACACAAGACACCATGCTGCACGCATGCACTGAAGCGCGTAAGGAGCCTCTTACTTGGGTGTTTTGGCTCAATAGCGACTCTCACAATCGGGGTGGCTTCAAAGTTGAGCGGCACAAACGGTGAGCAGGACGGCAGGCTGCACAGTGTGGCAGACTTCAGCACCAAGTCCTGAAGGCCTCCTATTCCTGCAGGGGAGAAAGATCCACAGGGTCAGGAATGGATGCAAGTCCTGTATGTCATAAAATCACAGAATGAGCCTACACATATGTCACAGAGCCAAGCGCTTCCACGATGTGACAGGGAATGACCTGTGTCATGCTTGCTGCAAACCTGGACACCATCTGATTGCAGTCAGAAACAGAGAGTCTGCTAGATTTTGTCATATCGAGTTGGTTAAAGTGCACCTACTCTGACCGCAGAAAGATACATATGTCTGAGAATGATGATTTCTAATCATAATTCATAGTTCATTTTACACTGATTTGATAAAGATGAGTGTCTACTGAAATGATCTCTGCCAAATGTAGTTGCACACAGATAAAGGGAATTTAGAGACCCACAAAGTGGTGTTGCTATGGAGTGTCTGACCCCGAGCTACCCTCCCTACCACCCAGTTTTAAAGAGAACCCCAGGGCTGGGTACGGTGGCTCATGCCTGTAATCCCAGATACTCAGGAAGTGGATATTGGGAGAATCATGGTTCCAGGCCAGCCCAGACAACAGCAGGGAGGATCACAGTTCAAGGCTGTGATCCTGGCATAACATTCAAGACTCTAACTGAAAAATAACTAAAAGCAAAAAGAGCCGGAGGTGTGGCTCAAGTGGCAGAGCACCTGCCTAGCAAGCACAAGGTCTGAGTTCAAACGCCAGTACCACCAAAACAAAAACAGAACAGAATCCTAGGCACCCCACTCCAGGGTCCTGGCTGATGGTGGCGTGAGAGCCTGAGGGTGCCTACTTGTGTTGGAGCAGAAAAGAAAACAAGCAACGCCACAGTATTCCTGCTGATGATTAAGAACTTAGGGAAAAGGGAGTAAAACCTTCACTCCCTGCATGTCCACCATAACTCCTTCTGAAATACAATTTAAAACCCAAGGGACCGTGTTAAGGTTATCTGGGTAAATCACAATAAAATAACTTCAAATTCACTTTAAGGATTCCTTGATACGCTATAAAATATTAAGCACACACCTTCGTGTTATACAAAACACACCTTGGAACAACCTTTTTACCTTAAAACTAATGCCACCATGTATAAGCTAGAAAAGGAGTTGTGCCTAATATGTCTACTGTTTTCATTTTGGTCTTTTTCCCATCTCTTTAGGCACACATTGTAACTATTACGACCTAATAACTTGCATGCCTTTGCTAAAGCCTCTCCCCCTGAGGTTAAGTTCAAGCAAAGGACTGGTCTAAATCAATGAGAAAAGATGGATGACCCCACGGGAGTACAGGTAACAAATATGAGCAGTTCCATGAAAAGAAAAGGAAGCCCTGAGCAGCCAAAAATTGAACGCCATGCTGGCAAGCCTGTGGGAAAAGACAGGTCTTCTGCAGATGGGAGCAAAACCTGCTACAGGCACACAGGACGAAACCGACACACGAAGCCGACCCTGCAATCACACGTCTGACTTCCAGCTGCGCAATCCAGAGCGGTGCTGAGAACGGCACAGTTGAGACTGTGCGCACACAACCTGTCCCCAGGTGAGCAGTGACTGGCAGGGCACCTCTGGGTGTGCATGTGCGGGTTGGGGGGAAGCAGCTACTAGCATCTAGCAGGCAGGGCCAGGACCTTCCATGGTGTGGAAATGCCCCATACAAACAACTACCCTTTGGGCAGCTTCTGAGGATCCTGCTGGACAAACCTGCTAATCATGTGAGCTAAAGTCTGATTCACTTTAATAACATAGTATTACTGTGGTTTAATGGCCACTAACTTTTCAGGAATGGAACGGCTACGCAAATAAAGTAGGAGTGGATTTTGTTAAAAGTCACTCCAGGTACCTGAGACGTTGATACCACACACCTGTAACAAAGCACACCTGTGACTGTCATGCAAATGTGGCCATGCAAGTAGCCGCACCAACTGTGTCTTCTGGGTTGGTCATGCTGAGTGCTCTGCATGGAAATGCACCTCATTTTAATGCAAACTACTCCCCTTTAATTTATTCTTTATATTATAAAGTATTACTCATGTGTCTGAAATATCCAGGCTGCATTTCACCCCTGGGAAGAAATGAAAAGTGGTGTTAGGTTTGTTATCAAAACAAGGTAGGGGTCTGGCAGGGATGAGAATCATTGTTAGTGGAAGTCGTTTGTGTGCACATGGAATGCATTCAGCAGTGTTCATGGCGGCAAAAGGCTGAAAGTAACCTGAAGAGTCACCAGATAAGCAAGTGATCAAAATATGTATCATGGAAGCAACGCAGCAAAAAAAACCCTGGAAACATGAGACAGCAGGAGAACATGTTACACAAGGTCACCGACATGGTACCGTCACACAAGCTAAAAATTAAATATATGTGCTGCTTGCAGACACCCACTGCTGATGCAAATAAAGTTGCAAATGAGTTGTAAAGCATCCCAAGGGGAAAACATGCTGTAAGGTTTTTTTTTTGGCAGCACTGGGGTTTGAACTCAGGCCCTCTCACTTGCTAGGCAGGTGCTCCCTCCACCAGCCCTTTCTGCTTTGGATGAGACAGAGTCTCACTTTATGCCTGGGATGGCCTGGACCACGTCGCTCCTCTTTGTGCTTCCCCAAATAGCTGGGATGACAGATGTGCACCACTGTGCCCAGCCATTTGTTGAGATGGAGTTTTTGTGAACTGGTCTGGCCTCAAACCGAGGTCCTCCTGATTTCTGCCTCCCAAGTAGCTGGGATTACAAGCAAGAGTCACCACACTGGCCTATACATCAACTTAAGAACACAATGACTGTGGGGAAGGTGAGTCCAGCGGTGTAAAGGACTGAGGTAGCAAGGGGCTTAAGTTAGGGACCTGTCACCTAGTAATGAAAGTTGATACAATTATGGAAAAATATTAAAATTAGTTAAGCCTAGGTGGCAGGTACATGGGTGTTTGTTGTATTATTCGCTGTCTGAAATGTTTCAAATTTTGAGATGTTGGTGGTGGCTGCATGCCAGGATCACAGCTGAAGCTCACCTTTTTCATGTCTCTGTGCCATGTAACAATCAGTTTGCACTATGCTCACTAAGAAGTGTATCTTTTATCTTTTAAGATGTATACCCTTTAAAATGTATAAGAAAACATTTACAGAGAGACAGCAAAAGAGCTTAAATGGGAACAGTGACCCTTTTTGGACAGTGGGCCTGCAGCAGGGTTTCATTTCATTTCTTCTGCCTCTAAGCAAATGGTCTCAGCAAACATGCTAGTTTTATGATAATTTTTTGAAAACAGCCTTTCTGTCAGTTACTTGAATTAGCACAGACAGCAAGCCCTGGGGTTAAGCTGTAAACAGGTTCCATTAGCATCAATCAGTTCAGATCCAGAAACTGGAACCATGGCCCCCCTAGAGCCAGACTGGACTTTCCCAGTCTGAGGTCCCCAGAGGGAGTTTTGGGTTTCTATCTGCCAGAAGCTGGCCTGCTTCTTAGGTTAGCCCAGGTCCCCAGGCTGTAGACAAGGGCCACAGTGAAGGATAGACCTGATCTCCAGATCCAGTCACAGGCCCAGGCATCGGGTGTGGCCGGCACCACCTGGCGCCACTGTTCTGCTGTACAGACTGCTCTTCTCAGTCAGTTCAGGAACCATGGGCTCATGTAGGGCACACAGCCAACACCCAGGCCCACTGAGGACAAGCTCTCAGGTGCGGAAGGAGCAATTCCCCTCATTCTGTGCTCTACATGGGTTTCACCAAGGGTCTGATGACCTCTGTCTACAGGTCTGTGCTGAGGGCCATGGTCGGGGTAGGATGACAAAGAAAGAGTCTACTTCTTAGTTGCCTGTGCTTTCTTTTGTGCTTCTATGGCATTTTAAGAAATTTACTTTTTAACTTATAAAAGCGTAAAATTGTACCACGTGACATCTGATACATGTACATGTTGTGTGACATTTACATCAGGTTAAACACAGCTTTTCCTCTAACGTTTATCATTTTTTATGTAAAAACTTTCACAATTCCTTTGTGCTTTTTTGGAATGTACCCTACATATGGCATCTGTAGTCATCCTCCTGTGTGGCAGGACCCCACAACTGCCCACTCCCGCACAGCTGTGGCTCAGGACCCTTCAGTCACAGTCTTGCTGAGGAGACTTGAGACTTGGAGGCTCTGCCCTGCGTCTGAGAAGGGGCAGACAAATTGAATTCTGAAGACAACTTCCAAACAGACAAAATGGAATAGAAAAATTCTATGTAAATAGTATAAAAATAAAAGAAAATAACTAAAATTGAAACAGAAATAGCGCTTAGTACCAAGTGACACTTTAAAAAATAAAACTGTTTTTTTAAACCGTGAATCGTTACTAGACACAAGCTACAAGAACTTTTGAATATTTTTAGGGAGTTGCCCAAGAATGGAATGAAACAAACAAACTACACACACTGATCCTTGGTAAAGGTAGCCTGCAGCAGGTGGGGTGTGACAAAGGCTCCCGGCCAATAGGACACCTGCAGGGACAGGCATCAGTGTCCCCCCACCTCACACTTTCTACAACAACCAGCAGTAGAGGACTCGGACCTAAAGCTGAGAAGCAAAGCAAGAAAGCTCGCAGCGTAAGGAAGAATGCCTCTGACCTGGCAGGAAGCAAAGACTGCTTAACTAGGCCATACAGTACAGCACTAACCAAAAAAACAAAAACCTGAAAAATCTTAGACTTCATTAAGAACTGCTTTTTCCAAGATATCACTGGAGAGAAAAGTCAACTCAGAGTTGGAGAAAATATTTACAATAAATACAACGAATCAGGAACTTCCATAACATATAAAGAATGCCTACAACTCAATACAAAAAAGGCAGAGAACTAAAATGGAGTGAAGATTTTACAGCTTTTCACAAATAAGTGGAAATCAGTGGTGTATAAGTAAGTGAAAAGGAGCTATCTTTACACGTTACCAGGGAACCCCGGGGATAGTGCCCAAACATGAGATCAAATGAAAATGGAAACAGACAAACCGGCAGACACAGGGCCATAAGGCTGCTCAGCCATCCGGTGAGAACGGTGGGGCAAA